TGTTGGAACAAGTGACGCCATAGAAGCATAAACAACGATTAAAGCACATTTCACGTTTGTGTATTTGCTTTCTGTTCCCACAAACAGCATTTTTGCCCAAAGCACTCGTCAAACCCAAGAGCTTGAGCTAAGTAGACTCTTTTTAAACGGAACCTGAAAGGGCTAGCAAAAGATGCTTCATTTACCAGGAGTTCCCATTACCGAGAAATGAAAGGGTCAGAACACAAGTACCATGACCAATCGCATAAGAGATAGTTGTTCCATTTAAGCACCAATTATGTCTAACAGATTTCCGTTTACTGAGAGTCTACTGTACAACATCTTATTTTTCACGAAGTTCAAAGTGATTTATACTGGCCAAAATTGCCGGTAAGTGTTTGGCATACGCGGTCAATTTTCCCATTTGACATGAAAGCTTGCCCTTGACCTAGAATATTTCTCATGGAATTCTTCGCCCCATTCATCCCGTGCATATATACTGCGTAGCGTTTGGAGAGAACCACCGCACTGAAGGCGAACCGTCACAATGTATTCCACAAGGCCCTCTCTGACAGGGAGATTACCGTAAGTTTTGAAAAGGGACAGACCATCGACTATTGTAAGCAGCTGAAGGATGCAGATTTTTTTTTTATCGACGTATCTTAATAAAGTTCTTCCGACGCCATAAATATTTTATCTAGTGCCGCACTATGGATACAACCTTCCAGTCAAGGTCCCTTGCCAGATAGACTATTATTTCTTTTGCCTTTGTATCGTTGACATGAGCTCTGCGCTAGAAAGCGAAGCGATCGATGAAGCAGTGCCTGTTCTCATTCGTGAGTGACAGCGCTTGCGTGTATACGTGTCGTTTCTCTTGTGCGTGACTGCTCGCGCTTGTTGCTCCATCATGAACCAACTCGCTTAAAGGGATGCATCGACTCACAACAGTGAAGAATATTTTGGATACTGTGAAAAACTGTATAGAAATATGTTAGCAAACACGGATATATCTGATATAATTCAGAGGGTATACCTTAAATGCCTAAAATATACATTATCAATCGCGTTTACGAACAAACTGCTTCGAGTATAAATGACCATTTATTGCAGATTTTTTGTTCAAAAATATTTTTTTTTTCATTTAACACAAAGTAAAGCCGTATTTAGGTTTCTAAAGCCTAAAATTCTTAATTCTTTGAACTTTCGAAGCATATATCCCAATATGCTCTTTGGTACTTTTTGAATTCACTCGCTTCTTTGTTCATTGAATGAAAACCAAAAATTCATCGTATCCGTACTAAAAATTGTCTCGCGCATCTCTGGAATCTGTCGACGTTTGTTATGTACCATGTAGTCCCGCATAAGACGTTATCTTTTCTTTTTCTCAGTGCTGCAAGTGGAAAGTCGCGGAGACGGAGGAGCAAAAGATTTGACTGCGAGCGCGAGCTATTGAAAGAAGAGCAACTCGAGGTGACGGCGCCCAGCATTGAACCATGACCTGTAAGACGACGAGCGGAACCTTTGCAGACAGGCTGCTTTCATTCTTCCTTTTTCTCGCCGTAATCAGGGAACGTGCCATGCTCGGCAGAACAATGCGGAAGACGCGGCGCCGTGGGCCCTCACCTTTATGCTGTTAAAGAGTAAGCCCTGGTACGGGCGCAGGCGCCACGCCTTCAGCCATGTGCATGCGATGAGGCTCCGCTTCTTTTGCGTTGTGATTGACGCGAGACGCTCGTGTGAAGAGGCGCAGACAGCGAAGGCGCGGAGTCTTTGATGCGGGTGTTTTATCGGCACCGCCCCTTGTTAGCGCGTCGCCTTTCGTGCGGGCCACGGACCAGGAGTACGTGAAGCGGGGTCAAAACGGAGCACTTTGCCATAATTACGTGCAGGCTGCGCGCGTTCCGTTCGTCCGTACACCGTTGTTCGTCGAGCCAGCGACGGTGCGAGGTCGCGCGCTCTTGGTAGAACGCTTCATCCTCTAGCCCATCGCTATGTAGGAGCTGTCATGCTCGCCTTCACGGTCACTTACGCGTGAAGTTCCCGCCCTCGGTTACTGCGGTGGAATGCATTATACAGTTTGAGCGCGACTAACAGGCTGTTCGTGGCCGTTACATTCATTCGAAGCACGGCGCGCTTCATCTTCCTAGAGCACATGCGTGTCTTACTTTGGCATGATGCGGCAGGTTAACTTTTCAATGCCTCTGAGGGGACCAACTGTGTGCATTGCGTGTGTGTGGTTTTCAGTGCTTTCCCATGAATGCTTACGGCTATGCCTAAAAACGTGGAAAAAGGCACTGCACGCTGACTATAGGGGCTCCGATGCATCTTCCGATGCATCTGCCGACCACTTAAAAGCTGCAACTAAGCAGGATGTCAAGAAAAGACATTGTATTTTATTGATGGAAATGAAGGGCGTTACATTCAACACCAGCCTGATTACTGCATTTATATTTTGTGTGTTTGTGTGTCTGTGTGTGTGAAAGAGAGAGAGAGAGAGCGAGAGAGGTTGCAGTGAGACATTCTGCAGTAGCCATAGTTCTTGGAACACCAGTATATAAAAAACGAACTAATGTCGTTTTTTTTCTGAAAAACAAAAGATGGACGTCCATGTCTGAAATCGTTGCTTTGGTGTTCGTGACGAAATATGTCAAGAACGTTTCGCATTAATACCGGATTTGAGTATTACCAGACGACCACTATATTCAGGATAGTAGTTGCCAAAGCATCAAATGGCCGAAAGAAGATGGATGTAGAAAATAATCTCGCACGTACCTGCTATACTGCAACAATCCGATATGCACAAATAAATTGTGTTTTTGTATAGTCAGTACTCCTTAGGTAGACTAAGGAATCTGAAGCACACTATGTGAAATGAGGCCTACAATGAGGACTCGCACATTATAATGTTATTCGGAGAACGTTTTTAAATTATTCCGAAACCAAGCCGCCGTAACTAAATCAGCAAAAGACGCCATTACGGCAAAAGTTTAAATACACTACTCATTCAAGTTGTTTAAATATTAAAAGGCAGATCGCTATCTATAGTTGGGCACCTCGTTTGAATTTACTCGGTTCATAACTTGTAAAATGTCTTTTCCTGTATAGTGAAGTATTTTCGCTGCTTGTTTCGCTTGTTTCAGAAAAAGGTTGGCATCTTGTGAGGCGTTATACTAGGATGTTTCACAAACCTAAATGTTTCTCTATCCTCTAAAAAGGCATCTTGTTAAATACAACGCATTAATCAGCTTTTTCTGCACTTTTTAGCAGTTTTTATCTATAAATCCAAATAATCAATAGAATAATTAGGCTAGTATGATCAAATTTTTTAAAGGCAAATTACGTGTATTTCGAAGCAGCTGACATAATAACAGCTGACGTAATAACATCGCAAGTTATGTGATAGTTATGTGTGTTTTTGAAAGCTCATGGGCGTTGAACATATCTCAAGGTATATATGATTAAAAAAAAGGCGACCAAAAATAGATCATTTTACTGACGAACTCCTATCGTAACCTGTTTCAGCTGGCTTTTTGGTGCCACGCTTTACTCTATTCTGCATATTTTGTCTCCAGTCAGTGCTGCTTCAGTACCATGGCCCTCGAATACGCACCATATATGGCTATGTTCCTTAAACACATATCATCTGGATAATGCCTTCCAACTGCGGTTTTGCTGTTTCAAAAAACGTTATCGAAGGCGCAGTGACTAGACAAGACTTAGTGTATAACTGAATATTTTATTTGCAACTTCGTAAATGTGTATAAGGCACAAAATTGTAAGAGCGCGAAATATTTTACAACAGTAACGTGCAAAGGCCACGCATTGCCAAAATAGGCTGCGATCTGAAGGCAGTGTGTAACTTTAGACAACACTGTGGCATGAAACAACGCTTTGGCACTAGGAGGTTCACACAAAACACATAAAGCTTGAGCAAAGTGCGCGCCTTTAAGTATGGCACATTTTGCGTGCACCTTCGGCGCCGTAAACAATCTCTATAGGTATCATCCAAAATGGGAATGCCTCGTAAACACTTACAGAACCGCAAGTTTGTATGGACTAGTACGATGCTCTCAGGCTTTGAAAATACTGAGCAGCTCTATGGTTCTTCACTTGGCAGTTCTGACCGGGTGTAGCCGGACAACACGACGTGATTAAGTTGCAATATACAATGCCACTCGGAAGCATAACAACAATATCAACGAAAGCGTGTAGATGAGGGCTTGAATAGAACGTAAAAAGAGAAAAACAAACTGGAAATGTTTTTGTGTAAGAAACAACACAACGCAATGAGAATTCACAAAATAATCAGGTTTAAAAACACCGGAATGCAAGATTACGCAGAGCTAACATCAAAACAGGTGAATAATACTGACGATTTAATAAAAAAAAAATCCCTGACGTAATAAATTTCGGCCTTGACGCGAGGTAGCTATGGTATTTTGGAATGTTCGAACAGTGGCACAAAAGCCGACAGCTTGAGTATTAGTCGATATCATACAGTCATAGACACTATGGGGCCTACTAAATTTCTGTGAAGGTTAAGAGTTTTTTTCCTGTGTCTGAGCTGCTTACATAGTACAAAATACCCGCGCATGGCTAGATGCAAAAAAAAGCAATTTTAATTGTGCGAATAATCTGTGCGCGGCATGTGACATTCACCATTCTGACTGTGGTTGACTTCGCTCAGCAGCTTACTTCAATCTCTATAAAACATGACGCCACTAAATTCAAGAATGCATATAATAGCAGGAGCTAACTCCAGTCGCGAGAACAGGAAGAAGTACTTCAAGTCCCACAAGCAAAGGCACAGTGCTGTGGCACCGTAGACGGCGGTCAGTTCGCCACAAATTGTTCCGAGTCCTTCCATGACCACAAATCTTTTCCAGCATGCCCAGACCACAAGCTCCTGTGCACATGTATGTGTTCTTTCGCCATGTGCGCAGCAGCTAAATTGGCACATTGAATAACAGAAAGGAGAGGATACCGTGCAAATGTCAGATGCCTGGACGTGATGAACGACGTCACTGTCTGAGAAGGAGTTCGCTGAGCGCGTTGATGTAGCTTTGTGCCATCTGGAGTGTTTCGAACTTGGAGAGCTTTCGGTCATTTCCTAGCGACGGCACCACCTCCCTCAGCCTGTCGAAGGCAACGTTGAGCGAGTGCATTCGACGCCGTTCTCGAGCGTTAGCGGCGAGTCGCCGCTTCTTGAGGACAACTTGAGATGGCGGAGCCTTGTCCGAGGGCTTTCTCTTGCTGCTGGACCCTTTCCCGAAGGGTGAAGTGCTCTTGCAGCCTTGGGAGGAATAATCACTTCCATTTTCTGCATCAGAGTCGAACTCGTCAGACTCGCCTTCATCCCTTGTGGGTCCCCTGAACGGCAGCACGGAGTCAAGGTGTCCGCTCACACGCGCCCGCGGTATCGGACAAAGCTCTGTGAGACTCGCGGGGCTCTCGGAGTCGGGCGAGCAGGGCGGCAATGTCGCTGGGCTTGACACAGGTGTTGGGCATCCGTCTGACAGAGGCACCCCGTACGATGAAGGCTTGGCCTGTTCGTGTTGATGCAGCGATGAATAGCAGGCGAAGTCGTGGTGCTGCTGCTGCTCAAGCAGAGCCATGTCTGTGAGGCAGTTGACAGCCATGGCCAGGGCGGCACTAGCGGGATTCATTGCAGCTGTCGACGGCGCTATCAGGAAGAGCGCTGATCGGAGCACGCTGCAACGTAGCCCGCCTGTCTACTGTGGTGCATTCAAACGAGCCCGCTCAGCGGTACGAGATGCAAGGAACTGGGTGAGGAGTGTTCGGCTCACGACTGGGCCGGTGGGTCTTTGGAGCAAAGAGGCGGCTCAGCTTGGACTTGGTTGTTCTGGGCTGGTTCTCTACGGCAAGGTAGCGCCGCGTGGTGGTCGATGCTGCACTCTGTGGCGTTTGTCGCTTCTGGATGCAAGCCGCTCGGCTTCTGGTGTGGCTGGCAGAGGGACCCGAGGAAGTCTTAGCCTCCGGGGGCGCCGGCAGGAGCATCCCCCTCGGGGGAGGAGAACTGCCGCAGCGACCAATGAACGAGAGGCGTTCGGCGGCCAGGTTCAGTTTTTGCTTTTGTTTCTTGGCGCGCACCCCTCGAGGCTGCCCTTGCCCGGATGCACCCCACCCCCCATTTCCCCTCGTCTCAGAACGGTTCTTTTCCTCCTCTTGGTCTTAGCTACCTGAACGGTTGTGGCACACCCGGGAGCCGTCTCTCAACTTTCTTCGTTTCCTCTTCAATGATGGGAGAGGATCGAGAGAGTGCACGCGGCTACCGTTCAGGAGTGCCGCTTTTTTCCCTCGCTTGTTGTCGTCGTCCTCTGGCGGCTTGCGTGTGATTAAGGCTGCGTGCGGGTTCCGTTAGGAAAAACAGCAAAAGAAAGCTAATAGGTGCGTGCGGCTTCCCCCTCCCCCGTCTATTGGGCAGCCCAGGGTGCCCGTCTGTCGCCCCGCAGAAAGGTCTGCAGCGGCGCGAGATGTGCCTGGCAGATCTCTCCTCGGCGGTGCATGCTGCTTGCGAGCCTGCGTCCCAGGCGTAGGGTGCGTGCTGCGCAGTCGGCTGACCGGAAGGGAGATCTGCTCTTTGGAGAGAACAGGGAAAAGGCTTCTGCCGCGTGCTTCATGTCAGGGTGTTGACTTTCACGGGACAACCGGCAGCTAGCCGAGAGTTCATGAACCAAGCTCATGGTTCGTTTGCTTTTTGAGTGAAGTTGGCCGGCATGCTCGCACAGCGTGTGCACACAAAACGTTGGGACGTTTCCGTCACTGCTGGTTTTCTAGCCGATGATCTGACGAACCCCCGAGATGCTCTAGTGAACGCACAGCCGTTAACCTAAGTAGATTCAGCGTCTCGTGCTGTCAGTAGGCTCTATATCACGCTGAACCAAGCCTGAAGTAAACAAGTTAAATGAAAGGTATGTTTAACGCACAGTGTAATGATTGTTATGCTAGGTGTGTTGTAATATCTGCCAGGATGGCACGACCACTACTTCTGCAGGAAAAAAAGCAGGGCTTGATATGTACGTGCATTCGGATGGCACTGTCATATGCCTTCGTCGAACTGGGAATTCACTCTTAACCATGCCGTACTTGAAGTCCTATATATTGCTAGAAAACTCAACAGAAACGGTCTAGTTCTCATGCTATAGTCAGAATTTTATCCGCGACATGGTGAATAGTGGAGTTTAGGCCCTCGGTGTACTTTTGTTCTTAGTGTAAGACCACTACTGAATTGATTGCCTTATGAGTGCTTTTGAGAAAAATATGTAAGCTTAGTGTCTTTTTCAATCGCATTATATAGGAGTAACTTTAATCTTGTTGGCTAGGCAACGCGCAATGGTCAGCTTATTTTGTTGCTGATAACGGGTTGCTTACTTTCTACAGCGAGAGCTGTTACGAGATCAAAACTCAAGTAACGCGTGGCGACGTAGTTGCTCGCCACCGCAGCCGGAGTCTGTAACCACTATCGCGAAAAAAACACTGTAATATATAAGGACACAGTGGGGCTCAACCCCGGGTTCGCTGCGTGCCTGCCCAGTATTCCACCACTTAGCCAAGCTGGTGCTTGGGACTTATTCACAAACTTGCCTTAGGCGGGCTTGATGTCTGGAAAAGAATTGCGTTAATATGAGCATTAAAACTTTTAAAACAGCAGGAGAACAACGAGGCATCTATCCATGTGAATAGCGTAGCGAGTGGGTCGTACAATGCTCCAACCTATTACAAAAGCTTGCTTCTGTTGAGCTATTAACTGTGGCGCATACCCACTTCAGGCATCATTCCTCATCGTTGTCAGCCACTGCATGAAAAAATTGCCACCTAATTCCTTGCAAGTGTTTAGCTTATACAATGTTTTTCAGAAAAATGACCAAAAATAGCATAACAAATGCTGGTTTACTACCCAGAAATTATTATTATTAAGGCCTAGTGTCTACCAAGTTTGCTTGCAGCAGTTACCCAACGAGTGTTTAGAAAAGTCTCTAAAAGGCCGCTCTTTTAGCTTTCACTTGACTGTGCTGCGCCTTCCGCGCATGATTAGCGTTTTTTTACCGCTGTGGTTCTGTTAACGAATTTTACGAGCCTTGAAATCGGCGGCAGCTGCCAGTACATTCGCGTTGTTCTGCGCCCCTTTATTTCATTGTCAATGCCAACCCGCGCTTCTCAACGGGAGCCGTCGGTCCGCCCTAATTAAGGGAGTACCCGTGATGCAGTGCTTTATGAAGGGTCACGCTGCTCACATCACACGAGAGTACGAGCACTTTCCCCCAAAGTCGCTATAGACGTCTTTCCTACACCGATGTCACACGTCCGTCGGATTCGCTCCTTCATGCTGCTGCTTTCTGGCTCGAGACAATGCTGCCGCCGTGACACAGAGCAGCGCAGGAGTAAAACGCTTTCTTCGCGCTTTAGTAAAGTACAATTTCACAATCCCGTAAACACCACTCTTACCGCGACATGACACTTGATAGTAGAGAAAACGCGCTATAGAATAATCTGTGAGTGGAGGCACCACTCTCAGACTCCCGCACCGCATGCAGAAATGATGCAGTGACGCTTCCCCATTGGTTGCCCGCATAGCGCCACCAACGGCGACACGCTCACCGAATATTTCCCAGAGCCAGCGTGACTACCAATATTGTGAAGATGAAGAATGCAAGATGCCGCCCCACGAATCTGCACACAACTGAACAAAAATTACTTCATATGACTTCCGTGATGTGACACTACATGAGGGGCTACTCTCTCTCATCACACGAAGGCTAAGCGATAGGGTAGAGTGGAAAAGGGCTAGTGGAGAGGGCGGTGAACAGCTGAATCAGGTGCATTTGGCTGGCATTGATAATAGAGAGGAGGTGTGGACCGATCAATGTGCCAGCACGTTAAAAACACATGTTATCTGGTTCAAAACAGTGATGATATGCGTAATATATCAGTGTGCCGTATATACACTGGTATCCTTTTAATAATTCTAGCTTTTGAGTAGCCCTTATGAGCTTAACAATTGTGAAAGAGAGAGAGAGAGAAAGTGCATACTTTCCATTAGCAAATTGGGTGGGCCTGGCCTGCTCTCTCCGAAAACTGTTATATGCCTTCTGGTATACAAAAGCGTACAGCAGTGGTTCCACAGGGGTCTTTCAGAGAATATATCACTACATCACATTATTGAAGCTGCCCTATATATATTGCCCTTTGAGTGGCTCTTTACAGCAGTGATGCGCATTTCATAGCTGCGGGCCATTTCCTCAAAAAAAAAAGATATTGTAGGAAGGATAAATGCCTAAAGGCAACATAAATCATTCGTCCACATTTATTTTCCCCCTGAAGAGGGTGTACCATTCCAGCATTGTGTGATAGACTGTGCTTTGTTGCTTTCCGCGGCTTCAGAATCCATTCGTCGTTGTTCGGTTTTCTGATGGAGAAAAAGGAAACGCGAAGGCACCGCTAGCGCACTCTTCTTTTTTCTGCTGCGGCCCTCGAAATGCGCAACGTACTAGTGCGTTCCCGTCTTTTTGTTACTTTGCCCAAAGTGAAGCGGACAAGGAAATAATCTGCGTATCGGGTGAAGACAGCTTTGCCGCTTTTTTATGTTATATATAGAAACGGACGAATCATGTAGGAGATGAACTTATATAGTTGCTGCTAAAGGGAAGCCCTGCGCATGACAGTGTGCTCTTCTAGCCATTCCGGTTGTCAGATTTCTGTCTTTAGACATGCCTCATGAATGCGTATTCAGCTCGGACTTTGCGGAATCGCAAAAAGAAAAAGTAAAGAACGCCGCGTTAAGTAGTAACAGCCAGATGCTGTCTCGAAGAAAGGTCCGTTACCATTGTCGAGTTCATTTTTGATCTTGCTCAGTCACTCGGTCCAAGTCAGAATCATTGAATGAGAAAGGGAAAGTGGGGCATCAGTTTTAGGTTGCACCAGAAATTCAAGAGAGGTGTGCCGCCTTTATCGACCGACAGATTGAGTTACGCGCAGTATCCAATTTTACACTGAAAGTTGTTATGAGATCGAAACTCGGGTCACGTGCAGCGCCGTAGTTGTCTGCCGCCGCTGGTGTTTGTAACCACTATCACGAAAGAAAAAAAAACTATAGATAGTATGAAGGACACAGTGGGGCTTGAACCCGGATCCGCTGCGTGCAAGTCCATTATGCCACCACTGAGCCAGCTAGGCCGTTGCTTGGAACTGCTTCGCAAACTTTCCTTAGGCAGGCTTGATGTCGGGAAAAGAATTGCGTTAATATGAGTAATAAAGCGTTTTAGAACGGCAAAGGAACAACGAGGCGTCACACAATGCGAATAGCGTAACGAGTGGGTCGTCCAATGCTCCAACCCATTGCAAAAGCTTGTTTTTGATCACCTATTAACAGGGGCGCATACCCACTTCAGGCATAATCCCTCATCGTTGTCAGCCACTACATGAACAATTAGCGCAAAATTCTGAAGTTTCTTGCAAGTGATTGATTGACTGATTGATTGGTTGATTGATTGTTTGATTGATTGATATGTGGGGTGCAACGACCGAAAACCACTATATGATTATGAGAGATGCCGTAGTGGAGGGCTTCATTGCAAGTGTTTAGCGTATACATTGGTTCTCAGAAGAATGACAAAAATAGCATAGCGAATGCTGGTCTACCACCCAG